ATACATATAAAATAAGTACAGAGAGAGATACAAGAAAATATTAATATTGAAACGTTTTAAGCAAAATAATTCTTACGAAATCATTACCTAAATTGTATAGAGCTTGTACATGACTAGCGTCTGTCTCTAATGCGCACAATAGCAGCTCTCTAGCAACATTCAATTCATCTTTTCTAATTGCACAAGCAGATAAATTAACGTAGGCAGCTGCATTATAAGCATCGGCGTTACGAGCTGCTTCACCATACTTTTCAGCTTGATCATAATCTCCTTGCTAAAGAATTTTCTGCTTAGATGCAAGAAACAAGCCAATATAACTGTAAATATTTATAAATATTACTCACAAGATAGTAGATAAAAGAAAGCATAGTTGCTGCCCCACTATTGGCTTTGGTGTCACGATTTTCAAACATTTTTAATGTATCTATGGCTAGTTGTGTTTCTCGATTATGCAAAAATACCATAGCTTTGTTTATTTCTAAATCAGCAGCTAAAAAACTAAACGCTGAAGACTTTATGGCATCAACACACCTACAAATAATTGTACAAATTTTTATTAAAAAACATAAATACAAATATAATCGTAATTTTTTTAAGTATATTTACCAAGCAAATCCAGCTGTAAGTGACTCTTCAATAACAGGTGCTATAAGCTTTGCCGCGCAAAGTATAGTCTTTTCAGCTTCCAATTTCATTTCTTTTTCCAATTTTGACAAATCGTCATTCTTTATAACTTCATTTAGTATGTTAGATTCAACATCATCCTATATATAAATAAGAAAATGTAAGTCTCAACAATATAGTTTAATGTTTTATTCATGATTTATACATGTGAATGAGAAATTATATCTGTGTAAATAAATAATACTCCTATATAATCATTATTTTATACATAAACGATAACATCTAACGAAAATATAAAAAAAAGAGATAAGAAGTCTATGTGAATGTAGAATGCTTGATGAAAAGAGGCAATTGCTATAAATATGTCACTATGTGCATCTTGTGAATCATAAGACACATATTGTGACGTGTAGTGGTGCAAGTGTTGGCAACTCTTTGAAAGATATACAGTTTTAATAACAACGCAGTATAATGGTGCCCAACTCACGGGATTTATGCTATACTTGTCCTCCTGATCTACATTAAGCTGTACTTCTAGTAATTCTAAGAAAGCTCTTTTCATTTTATCACGATGAGATAACGCGAAATGACATAAAACAGCATGCAAACCCGCTTTAAACTCAGATCTCTCCCTCATCACCCATTCAAAACTATTAGCTGCCTCTTCTAATCGACCCATTTGTACAAATAACATTCCCATGTTATGCATAATCTTTATTCTGCGAAATATTTGTCAGATTAATAATATTATTAGCAATGGAATAATATCGTTTCTCAATAATTCCTCAATCATATAAATTGATAAATATATAAATTGATAAATATATTAATTGAAAAGTATATTTACCTTAAATCTTTGTGGGCTGTCGGAGCTTGATCAAATGCCATTCTGTACATTTTTATAGCTTGAGGTAGTTGACCCATTTTTACATAAATGTTGCCCATATTAACTTTGAGTCGGGCGCTATTACTAAACATTCTGTTCCTTGTTATAGCTTGATAAGTTGCTATAGCTTCTGTGTACATTTCATTATTTGTATATTGAATCGCTAAGTTAAACAGCACCTGCCAAAATAAGTTAAAAATCTATATGTATAAAGCATGTAAAGTCGGATTGTAACTTTTATTCCAATTTGTATACTGTTTCCTCGCATCTTAACATTGCTAGATAATTAAGATCAATGACATTCAATCTCAGCCGTAATATAATATAATTATAATTATATAATTTTATAATTGTAATTGTATGTAGTACATGATTATATACGTTCTTATTCTCATTAATCATCTTGCTACTTTATATTGCACATATAAATATATTATTGTATATAAATGTATGTATGTATGTATATATGTGTGTGTGTAAAATTATATGTTTCTCATATATAGAGATAGCCAGCCAATATAAAAATTGGAGCAAAGTTGCAATTTAATCTGATTATTATAAAAAATAACATGATAAAAGAGTTTATAATGAGCTTACGGCAAATGTTAAGTCTATATTGTGATTATCACTAAGACCAGCTTGTTCCTGCAATCGTATAAGAGCCCTTTCTCTTGAAGAAGCTTCACGCGCTCGTTCTAAAGCAATTTTTATATTATTTTCTGAGGCTGCCTGTGCAGAAGTTTCAATTAAACCCATTATTCTTCTTTCAGCCGTTTTTATCTTCTCTTCTGGTCTTAAATAGAAAGAAATCATTGAAATATATTTGAATATTGTTTTTAATGCTATACATACATATATGTATATATGTGCAATAAATATCTATAAATCTTACGTGTCTTCTTTGTTAGTTTCCAATGCAGGTGCAGGACCTTTGGAACTAGTCCCTATGTTAAGAGGATCAAAAGCTTGTTGACTACTTGTATATCCAGCACTCCTCACCGCTGTCATAGGTCTAAGTCCACTAGTCATAGGTTGCATTGATGTAGTGGTACCACTTCTTTGAAACTGGTAAAATAAAAGCACAATACTTAAAATATGTCAAAACCAAGTGTATAATATCAATTAAATTGTAAAAATATAATAAAGTACATAAATATTATATATGCTGTATTGATGGTCAATAACAGGCTTCATCTAATTAAAAATTTTTTTTTTAATCTTTATATATTATAAATTTTCTTATAAATATTACAGAAATCTATTTAAGATAACAAACACAGTGATCATAAAAAATATATCTATCTGTACTCATTATTAAGAAAAAAGTTATAAATTAATCACAAAAACTGTAATTAAATTGTTTACAGTAAAATTATTCTTATTCTACTACATGTCGCTATGTATAAACTAATTCATATAACTTACTCGACTTGACGTTCCCAAACGCATTGCAGTACCTGGCGTCTTGGGAGTAAACTGTCAAATATCAAATAAATGTATGTATAGTAAGAAAGGAAGTAAATATTTAAATTAGTAATAATTACAATTTAGTAATAAATATCATATTATGCAATATAAAGTACTGAAATTTTAGCAGCATTAGAAATATAATGACTAATTGTGTTTGCTCACTATTGATCTTTTTCCATAACTTGTTCTGACAACTTCCTGAAATAATTCATCCTGCTCGAGATCTTTAATATTGTACACCGCTGGGTAATCATTATATCCTGCATAAATATCATCCTCCACTTCCGTGGCAGACATGGTTAACAGTTTTATGGTATTCCGTATAATCGTGGCTTTTCTTATGTATACGATAATGTGTAGTCATACGTTAACGGTTAAATAATCGATTTATACACTCTGACGTATATTTCCGAATAAACTGGATGGATTAAACGAGAAAAACTGTTTTTGGGAAATATACTCCGAAATACATAGCATAAAGGAATCGACGGGGAAACAGCTAAGAAGTAAAGAATAAAGAATAAAGAATCACGAAATACGTCGAAATTTTCCGTATGCTATCTCCAGTACGTAGGAACTATGTAGAACTATGTAGCTATTCTTTTCTGACTCTGTCGATAAAACATAATGGAGAGGAGCGGCTTGCGCATGCTCTTTCAGTTCGTGAGTCTAGCACCAATCTGATGATGGCGATAATTGTGAAGAACACCGAGTGGTCTTCGGTTCATATTAGGTATTTATGAATCATATATATATTATGTATAATTGTGAGTTTATATAGATATCAATATTTTCATTTACTTTTTGCTACTTCCATGTTTATTATGTAAATATCAACACTTTCGTATTCTCATCCATAATATAAGTCGAAGTTCACTATATAGTGTTGATAATTAAAGATATAATTATATTATGACAAGTATATTTGAAAAGCTGTGAAGGTAGAGAAAACACAGAAAAATTAATTAAAGTAATAAAAACAATCTTTTATTACTTAATATTTAATTTTACATGAATAAACAGACTGATAAATATCTTATTTGCAATATATAAATAAATTCTTATATTTACATAAAATCTTAATTGCGATTTAAGAAATATAACTATAAACAATAAATAAATAATAAATAATAGTAAATGTATATAAAATATTTTTTATTATTATGTATTATTTATTTTTTTCATAATTGTCATTTTTTACGTCTAATACTTATACTATTTTCCAATACTACTTTTACGTTAAATAAATTAATTATATAAATTAAGTAAATAATAAATATTTTTCTTAATAAAAAAATACATATTCTTTTCCTGTTTGATATAAAACAATAGTATGGAAATACTTAAAAACTCAGTCCATATCTTCATAATTAACTCTAATACATTTCTAATTTCTATACAAAATAACTTTTATGTTATTTTAATTTGTGACGTCTCTTTAAAATATCTTTTTAAATTATTATAATAATCATAAATTCTTTTTGACTCTGCCAATTACAGTAAATAAATAAAAAATTACTTATACTAGTATATAGCTATGATAGTAACAAAAATATATTTTTTGTTAACTTAAATAAAATGTGTCCATGATTTTTTAGTTGTTATAGTATGTAAATACATTCCAATTATTTGCGAATTATATTATATGCTTATTGCTTTATAATTAAAATTATTTACATGTTAATAACCATTTTTATGTGTGTATTAAATTAATAATTTGATTTAATATATTCTCTCTTTTTAATCAGTATGTATGAGTTAATCACTTTAACTTCATTTTAAGCCATTTTCAGTGAACAAATCAATATAATTGTTAGTATTGTTTCTCTCAAACTGATGAAAAGGTAATCAACATATCGTTCATACTGGCTGCAAAACCAAATGCCTTAATCAAGAATTACAGTATATAAATAAACTTCTACAATAATAACTTCAATTATCGTGCATAACTTATTTGCCCGATACATTTTTCTTTTTCTTTTTTAGTTTCTTTAAAAAATCTTGTTACAATTTATCCGATTATTATAATTTACTATAAAGTTGTGTAACGTCAAAGAAATTAAATTAATTATAAAGTTCTATACCGTGTAATCAAATTTAAGCGGTACAAACTCTTGGATCTGTTTGAATGACTTCTTCTTAAGCTCGTCATGTTTAACGCTTTTAAAAGTAGCTGCTCGATCTAGACACGTGTTTATCACCTTGTTTACGATAGAAATGATGCCAGGTAATTTCATCATATAACAGAACAGAAATTTGTGCAGCATATAAATTATTTTCTCCCGTAAACTGAATAAACCATACAAACGAGGCATGTTGAGTTCAAATATGTCACAGAGATAAAGCAGAGACACTTTGTAATTACTTAAAATATCCATATAAACTACGCTTTCATGTAAACACATGATTATATGCTCCCACTCTGATGTCACCGTGCGGAAATTTGGTTTTATCCATTGCTCAATGAAATCTTTACTTCGTCGGCGCACATCCTGTAAATCACCGCGACAGAAATTATACTGATCTTCCATGCCTAGCAGATAGCCTAAACCACGCCAGAGATGGCAAAAAGCCTCCAGATCCTCATCGCTGGCGTTGAATATTCCGAACTGCTCCGGATAAAGCACTGTTAAACTTATGCAAGCGAACATGGTACCTGCCATTTCGCCTTGGTTCAGACTTGTCGTTCGTGCTATCAGGTACGGACAATGTTGGCTCTTCGCTATCGAGCACGTGTCTGCGAAGTCTTTTGTAATCTTTCCCAAAATAGGACACCATACATTTTGAATCTTGCTGTCTTCATCAATCTCCTTAAAGCTTTTCTTAGACAATTTCGATCTCATGGCGCTGTGTAATCTTCGCACTCTCTGAATGTCGCGGTAAGCTGGCGTACCTTCGCACCAAGGATCGCTCGTGTACCAATTTCTCAAGATTCTTACCGTTCTGAGGTATCGCTCAAAGGCTTTGTACGGAGTGTCTGACTTTTGACTGAGGATCAGCGGTTTGATTCCGTCAGAGAAACTAAATATTTGGATTAGACCCATCAAAGTACCTATAAGAATCCCGCTGAAGTAACGTTCGGCAAAACGTTGTCCACGATAAAATTTATCCATTATTAACCAATCCGGCTTTGCATTTCCTCTTCGTCTACTGCAGTCTCCATTTTCGAATACTGCCGGCATTATGAACCTCAAAGATTCGGGTATGTTCGGGAAATATTTTCTAATATTGCTCATTAGGTGATCGTACTGCTGTTTAAGTGTCCACCGATCGAACTGTTCTGGTAACTTGCTACTGAATTCCTGTCTACATTTTGTTATGAATATTTCACGCTCGTTAATGAGATTATCCGATAAATTATTCCATTTATCAGAATCGTCGAGAGAAGAATCAAAGTTGCTCGAAAATCCGCTATCTTTATCTTTTTCGATTTTTATTTTGAGCAAAACGTTATTTATCGCAAGTGCATCATCATTCAATAAATTTTCTTTAATTAATGAATCAGCCTCACTGCTTGTGATTTTCATTGTATGTGATTGTAATTTTTGCGATTTTATTTGAAGAAGTAAAAATATCTCTTAGAAATTCGTTACAAGTTTGAAGAGGTTCTAATCCGAATGTTGATGTTGAATCTACACAAAAATTTAAATATAAGATATACATGGCCGGAGACACTACCGCGTCTCCTGATAAAACAACTTCTATAACTTTCAAGAATTCCAAAAATCACACATTAAAGAAAAATATTATTTTGTACTAGAATATGAATAACAGTAATACCGCGGTAATTTATATGTAAGCAATTATAATTACGTAATTAATTGAATACGTATCTAAAATAGCCCAGACCAAGCTAATATAACGTTGTCATGCCTCATGCGTTGTCATTTTTAAGTATCAATTTTTTACATTTGACTAAATTTCAATAGACACTAAAATTGCTACCAAAGTATAATAAATAATACTGACAAGTATTTGCTTAAATAGTCCTTACAATTTTTTAGATAATTAAGTTGTTATAATTAATTTAAAGTGTGTATAGAATAACAAATATTTTACTTACATTTGGAACTTTGCTGTCTGTGACTGTGTTATTTTACGTTCTCCGTGAATTGTATAAAGTATGTTTCCACAATGGTATATTTATAAGTGTATCCCTACTTGAGAATATCCCCTCCTTTTAAGGAAACCGAAACATTATTGTGCAAAATCAATTAAGATAAAGTAACCATTAGTTATACTTATGAGTCATTGTGTTATTATTATTGACGTATAGATAATCGGATAATCTGCAAAATTATAAATACTTTTTTTATATATTAATGTTTTAAAGGATTAAAGAAAATACTGTAAAATATGAAAAATTAAGATAAAAATAAAAAAATTTACATGTTAAAAATTAAAAGATACGAAGAAAGACAAATAAAAAATTTTGTTGACTATTAAAATAGATTCAAAATAAATCGAAGATTTAATCATCATGCTAATCATGTTTCATTTTTTTAAATTTAGAACAGATCCAATTAGTGTACTTTAATCCTTTAAAACATTAATATATAAAAAAAGTATTTATAATTTTGCAGATTATCCGATTATTTATACGTCAATAATAATAACACAATGGCTCATAAGTAATAACTAATGGTTACTTCAAATTTTATCAAGACTGATTTTGCACAATAATGTTTCAGTTTCTTCAAAAGGAAAGGATATTCTCAAGTAGGGATAGACTTACAAATATACCATTGTGGAAACATAAATACTTTATACAATCCACGGAGAATGTAAAACAATACACAATTCATAGACAGCAAAATTCCAAATGTAAGTAAAGTATTTGTTATTATATACACACTTTAAATTCATTATGACAATTTAATTATCTGAAAAATTGTAAGGACTATTTAAGAAAATACTTGTTAGTATTATCTATTATACTTTGGTAGCAATTTTGGTGTCTATTAAAATTTAGCTAAATGTAAAAAATTGATCTTATTATAAGACTATACACAATTTAACTAGGCTATTAGGAGTCAGCGTTGGAACGAATATTGCGCAGTATAATAATATATAAATTTTAGTCAGAAAAATTGAAATGAACGTTTTTGTTCAATTTTGAACTATCTTCAGCAATATTTCATTTTATACTGCGTAACGTTGAATTATGAGTCACAAATTATAATCCAGTATGTATTCTTGGTAGCAACATTGTGAGATACGAAATCTTCAAATATTATCTATGTCCAACAGTTACGTAGTAGATTGCCATCTCAAACGCTCGTGATTACCAACATGTATATTAGGGTGTCCGTTATTTCCCAAATTTCAAAAATCAGTTTGTTCGCCCCCTAGATCTCTTCTTTGGCACCAAAAATTAATGTAGAAACTCAATATAGTCCGATAAATTAAAATTAAGCCGTGCCACCGAGCACTTCTTTTTTTCCATACAAATAACATGGGGATTTTGCATTTTATCGGCATTTAATTCTCTACGATGACTCTGTCCGTATAAAAAGTCATACCCAACGGAAAATTACTTCAATACGGTGTACTTACAATGAAAAAATTTGGCAGAACTCTAAAAAATTTTTTTGCACTGCGGGTAAGCCTCCAATTAATACGTTTATTTGACATATTTTCATTGAATTTGATTATTTTTTAACAGTTTTTTTTTATACAACCACTGGATTTATGTACCAAATATCAAAACAGTATGTAGTTAATTCATATTTATAGTGTAGTTGCACTAAAAAATTTTTCAGTGCTATAAAAAACTTTTCATAAAAATTGTTTTATGTGTAATGAATGAAAGTATTTCAATAAATAAGTTTAAAAAAAATTGAAAAATAACAACTAACTATTACTTAATTACTATTTTATTGTTGTAAAGAGATATTCCAGCCTGTTGATTCCTCTTACTAATAAATAAATAACAAATAAATCGTTATAAATTATATTTATTACTTTTTATTCTTTACACTTACAAAAATATATCGCTCACATCTTCAAGTAAAAAACTTTTCATTTTTGTCGTGTCTTTTTATGTGAAAATTGATTGTTTTTACGTAAAAAATGTATTTTAATAAATTTGCATTTATTTGTAAGTATAATATACTTACAAATAAATGCAAATTTATTAAAAGTATAATATACTTACAAATAAATGCAAATTTATTAAAATACATTTTTTACGTAAAACAATCAATTTTCACATAAAAAGACTCGACAAAAATGAAAAGTTTTTTACTTGAAGATGTGAGCGATATATTTTTGTAAGTGTAAAGAATAAAAAGTAATAAATATAATTTATAACGATTTATTTGTTATTTATTTATTAGTAAGAGGAATCAACAGGCTGAATATCTCTTTACAACAATAAAATAGTAAGTAAGTAATAGTTAGTTGTTATTTTTCAATTTTTTTTAAACTTATTTATTGAAATACTTTCATTCATTACACATAAAACAATTTTTATGAAAAGTTTTTTATAGCACTGAAAAATTTTTTAGTGCAACTACACTATAAATATGAATTAACTACATACTGTTTTGATATTTGGTACATAAATCCAGTGGTTGTATAAAAAAAAACTGTTAAAAAATAATCAAATTCAATGAAAATATGTCAAATAAACGTATTAATTGGAGGCTTACCCGCAGTGCAAAAAAATTTTTTAGAGTTCTGCCAAATTTTTTCATTGTAAGTACACCGTATTGAAGTAATTTTCCGTTGGGTATGACTTTTTATACGGACAGAGTCATCGTAGAGAATTAAATGCCGATAAAATGCAAAATCCCCATGTTATTTGTATGGAAAAAAAGAAGTGCTCGGTGGCACGGCTTAATTTTAATTTATCGGACTATATTGAGTTTCTACATTAATTTTTGGTGCCAAAGAAGAGATCTAGGGGGCGAACAAACTGATTTTTGAAATTTGGGAAATAACGGACACCCTAATGTATATTATATGTACAAAAAAATATAATTTAAAAAATACTAAATTAACAGTTGTTCCAAATTAAAATTACAAATTAATTTAATCAAATAATATTATAACTGATTATTATCTCAGATATTATTTGACATATATCAATAAGACACGATAATCATTTGATTAAATTAGTTTGTAATTTTAATTTGGGACAACTGTTAATTAGTATTTTTTAAATTCTTTCTGTACATATACAATTTTTATATTTTTTTTGTACATATAATATGCAAGTTGGTAATCACGAGTGTTTGAGACTGACAATCTATACTACCACGTAACTGGTTGGACATAATATTTGAAGATTTCGTATCTCACAACGTTGCTACCAAAAATGCATACTGGACTATGATTTGTGACTTATAATTCAACATTATATGCGGTAAAATGAAGTATTGTTGAAGAAGGCTCAAAAAAATTGAGTAAAAACGTTCATTGTTTTAATTTTCAAACTGAAAATTGTATATTATTATACTGCGCAATATTCATCCCAGTGCTGACTCCTAATAGTTAAATTGTGCATAGTTTTATTATATGAATTAAAGGAAAGTCTTACAAAAAACTTAAATTTTTTTATTGTTAACATTTTAATCCTATTAATTTAAGAAGAATATTAAAAGCGTTAGCATGTTGAAGATTTACAGTAATATATAATCATGATAAAATAACTAAATTATTTTAGAAAATATACATTTAGAATATAGATTAAATTCTTCTAAAATTAAATAAGTATTAGTAATAAAAAAAGGTTACCAAGAGCAAACACCGTAGTTATTATTAACAATGCAATTTTTAATATATTTAAGTATATTTACTCAATTCTACATTTCTTTATAAGATCCATGCGAATATTTCGACCTTTATTTTAAGCTAATCACTAATGTTAACAATTTAAAACAGTTTTAGTGAATCGATCGAACATAATTTACGTACGAAAAGTTTACATCTTATGAGTGTAATCATCTCTTTAGTATCTACTTCCTCCTTCTCTTGGAAAGTGATCCAAGACGTAAACTTTTGACGTAAACTCTAAACTATCTTCATGACGTCAATCATTGTAATAATCAATATAATTTCCTATGGCTGTTGTCATGAAATTTGTACTTGTATTAACAATTAAGTGAAGCATGATAAGGTCTTCATGAGATTTGTTTCTTTTATTTTTAACTACACTTTCAGTTGATAGTGAAATTCTTTGTTGCCTTTCTTTCGGAATGGTGATTAATTTTTTGACACTTATTTTTTTATCTTATTTATTTTGTGAACTTGAAAGTAAATTTATTCATTAATCATTTAGTGCGAATACTTTTCAACAATATTTATTTAAATTAAAAATTATTTTGCTGTTAAATATAAATTCAATGTAACAAATTCAAAATTATGAATTTGGTATAGCAGATGATACGTCTTGAAAAATGCTCAGATTATTGTATGATATATACGTAGATTTATATGGTAGATTGTATGACATTGAATTTATCAATTTTGATATCAGTTTTATATTTAGTGGTCTAAAAACCTACATATTTTTAATAAATATGTGAATATATGTACACATTTAAATATACATTTGCATTATACATAAATATATGTAAATATACATATATTTAAATATGTATATATATATTACATGATTATATTACATATGTAATTCTGAATATATTAAAATATAAATACATATCTATTAATAGCAATTTATGGGGGGACTACATACGCAGTATATAAAATTCACACATAATTATAATAAGCACTGTGATCTAGCTTTGACCGTTATAGGATGTCTTCTTCTTGTTGGTGTTTATCACATGTACGGTCGTAAAAAAATTTTAATATTTGTACATAATTCTTTACAATAATATACAATTATGTGATGTAAAAGTATGAAAAACATCATTATTTGAATCGACCCATTTTCGAGCAATCTTGGTATTCATAGTTCTTATTTTAAAGCCACTTTCTTTGATTGGTTTGGATACCTCAAGACTGAATTTAAAACGATCTTGAATTGACGAATATATGAATTGACTATGAATACTGGCCCCGATTGTTCAAAAAAGAAAAAGATTAAATAAATAGCTTATCAACAGGAAACGTAACTGAGCATCAACAGGAGCTGAAAGTCCAATAATAACGTCATTAACATCGCAGGAACGCATAACAGTACGCAGAAACATAAGTAAATTATACGGAAAGAGAAGAAAACAATGATAGATAATCGTTTGTTATGTGAATGAAACTGTGAAATATTTTTCTGTATGAAAGATGAAGTCCAACAAAGTGTAATCAAATTATATCAATCAAGTTTCTTTTGCGCACATTGCACATAATGACGTCATGCTTAATACTTGAAATCTTCCATATTACGATTAATATGTCCAACGGATGTTTTCTTTAAAGAAGCTACGCGGTTTGCGGGTTATCTCGATGCCTTAATACATTGTTGAATTATCGTCAATTAATGATGCATTTTACTACGGAATTTAACAATGTATTAACCTGAAGATAACCCGAGATAGATAGATAAACAGAGAGAGGAAGAGAGGGAAGGAGAGAAGGAATCGTAGCTTCCTTATTAATTGTTATAGAATATATGTATAGGATATATTACACTAGTAATTGATTATCGTATGCATATTATATTAAATATGTCGCAAGCCATAAAAAATTGGCCAATCACAGTTCAATAAGAAAAAATAATCGATTATAATTGATTAATATCTTAGGCTTGCGACTCTATTTTTGAACAGGGTTAATGTAGAGTTACGATGAACTGAAATTCTAGTTTTAAGTTTCCTTCCAACAGATTAATTTTGACTCAAATTTAGTTTATTTCTTGAGAACATACAAAATAAAATATGAATTCAGTTTACTTCGGAACTAAAAAATAACTTTAATTTTAAACATATTTGTTATTAACATATAAGATTGATGATTGTTCTTTCACATATGACATATTTTTGTTATTTTTTAATAGTGTCTTAATTATTTACAAAACCATATTTCATAGAATTTATACAAGTGTCCAAAATGTCGTAAATGTTAGTGTCTATTTTACATTTCTTAAATCATTATTTCTATTAGATTTTACAATTTATATTGCAAATAAAACAAAGGAAGGTAAAATTTGGCTTGAGACATTTTCGCTTTGGTTATAATACCATTTACAAGGTATGTTCTACATTACATTGAATAGAAATATATATATAATATATAAGCATGTAACGGAAAGTATTATATATAAAGTAGAACAAACACATTCAATCTTTCGTAAGTTACGTTCATAAATATTTACATGACGTTTCGACATTTTTTGTTCATTTTTATACACTCGCCCGTAAAAAAAGCGGTACACTATAAATTTGGAAAAAATTTACCAAATTTCAAATAATCATAAAGTGGACATTTCGAGCTTCATTTTACTTTTATTTATTTATCATTTTGTCTTACATTCTAGATTTATATTATATATTTTTCGAGTAACGGGGGTATTTTTTTTTTAATTTACAAAATACGCAAAACAATTTAATCTCTTACATGATTAAGAAACAATAAATTTATTAACAACTTTTTAATTATATAGTTACTTGCGATGCATAAATCTTATTTAATGAGCTTTGCAATAGCACGTCAACAATTATAATAGTAACCCAAGTAGCAAAGTGATGTCAAATAACATCTTAATAATATCTTAATGACATTTCTTTAACATAAATAAAATGTCATTAAACGTCATCTTGCTACTTGAGAAAATAATTCTATGAAATAATTGTAACTTAATTTCACGTATATATTTTTTTTTTTGAAAATTTGATTTAAGACATATTTTTATATATGTGACTGAAATATTTCTATATCCATATCGCAGAATCAAAAGAGAGTATTCAAAAGAATTATACGTATGTGTAATTATTATCTATCTACAATTCTGCGAACAATCTAAAAGGAGCTTCACTTTTCATACAATACGTTATTATTCGCATTCGCATTATAATTCTATTCACACTTGGCAGATGGAAATGGCATTTTAACGGTTTGGAGTTGGTCCAAGGTTGCGCTTCTTATTTAATTTAGTAACGATGACGCTATCAGTCTCCCTCGTGGAGAGGATATAAAAATATTCTCTTTGTATCATTTTAATTATATGGTCAACATTAACAATTACACTGCTCAACAAAAGACACTGCTTTTTTTCTTTGAAATGTGACAATACATTTCGCGAAATTCTTTTTGAACTGAACGTCGACGTTGGTATAGTAACATTTTTTATTAAATTAATATAAAATAGGCGTTTATGGCTATTTTTAACATTTTTCCACAAAACAAAACATTGTTTATAAATAATGTCTATAATTAAAAATAGCCTCTAAAAATATAATTCAAGAGTTTTCAATTAAATTTTAGTTTATGATCATATGATCTATTTTCATCAAGTAATGTTTGAAGCTGTTTGAATTTTATATTCTATATAATTACATAGAATTATGTATAATTATAATTCAACAAAAAAGTTTTAAATGTCACATAGTACTTCAAAGATTTTTCATGCAAGAACACAATACCGTTTCTAGCATAACATTTGCGTAGCACATCAAGATTTTTAATAAATTGAAGTATAATTGAAGTAGTAAATTTTAATATTTATAATTCATTATAATTTCATCTTGATTTATTAAAAATTCTGATGTGCTACGCAAAATCAGATAACAGCGTTCAGCACAAAAGATCTTCGAATTATATACCGAATTATATATTTGAAGAGAAAAAAGTTTTCCTTTGTAATTATATACAGAAAATTTAATTTAACATGACTGTTCAAACAGCCATAATTTGATGAAAAGTTATACGATCATAAATTTAAATTCATTAAAAAATTCTTGTATTATATTTTGAGATGTCTTAAACTTTATCCAGAAATAAGCTTCTTTGTTTTGTCATAAAAATGTTAAACATGGTAAAAAAAAAAGCCATTTTCTTTATTTTATATCAATTTACTCAGAATTTTGGCGTGCTATGCCAATTATACTAATGTCATCCATGTTCATCGTGAAAAAATATTCGCAAAATGTATTTCAGAGAGATTTTTCACTGTTGAACAGTGTTAGTAATTATTGCGAAGGAACGGCTAGTGAACTACCATACATGAACTAAGAAAGTTTGTACGATTGTAGACCGCTGTCGTACTTAATTATTATCCAATAAACACTAAGCAGTAATATAACTTTATAATGTTACGTTTTTACAGTGTAACTGTTATGTACAACATGTGTTATATTGCATTTATATTGTTGTGTATGTATTATAACATTAACATTATATTACTGTCAGTTGATGTTTACTGGGTAGTTATTTGTTAACAATGTAATAACTATATATTAATAACAAAATATAATTATGATTATAATTACAATAGCAATATAACAGCAGTAATAAGTATATAAATAATAGTTGCAATAATTTTAGGCGAGCAATAACAATAATGATAATGTTAACGAAATAATGATAGCTAATATAATAATCCTACTAATAAATAATAGCAAAGGTAATGGTTAACGGTATTCCTTATTAGACAAAGAAAAGATAAATAGTGATGAAGATATATAATATTTTGTCACGTATCGAAATTCTTCCAACTAACTATTAATCAACTATCAACTCTTTATGATTAGCGATTCTAATAATAAGTGGGTCAAGCATTGAACAAACATTCTATATATTACAATATTTCCTTATTATATTATATATATATATATATATATAATGTATGCATATATTATATTACATATTATATATATTATTTTTACAACAAATATTATTCGCACATTTTTTTTGGAGACAAAGAATGTAGTAGTATCGAGATGTCAATTATCTTTCAACTCGATTGAATTCGCATATGTAATATCCGAAACTTGTAGTTCGCGCTACACACGCGCGAGTACTTTTCGGCTCAAAATACTACTCTCTTAGAGAATACGAAGTTTAAATAGACACATTCTCTCCCTCTCTTTCACGCGATATTATTTAACGTTTGACAGCGGTCCAAACACTCTCGCAGGTAGATCATTATCTTCCATTTCCGTTTTAGCGGTCATCGTTACTTGTTCTAAACGCTGTTAGATCGTTCGTTCCGGACGAACCTATCCACACGTAATCGGGAATCAGCGAGAGTATTGAAAGATACCGGGCACACACAGGCGCAAGTGTTCACGATCCTGTCTTTTACTTTATTTGTCACTTGCATATTTTCGTGTGTTCACGCCTGTTTGGGATGTACGACGGGTGCGGTGGGCTCCGAGCGGAAACACGATAGTAGAAAACCGGTATACATGAGAAAGAGAATGGTGATGGCAATTAGCATGTACATATAGATGTTTAGTTCCGGCTGTCGATATCTGTTCTTGCGTAACCACTCGAGAACGTCTTGTCCTTTGTGCAAATCACCTGTAGAGCAATTGAAATGTGACTTAATAAAAGCACCGAAGTAAAGCGATCTTCACAATAAGAAGTTTTTCATGATAGGGTGGATCGAAGCGAATTGGATTACGGAGTGAATTAGATTTTGTATTTCCGTAAAAAGCTCCTTACCTCTGTAGATACTAGGGAATCGTTTGCGAAAATAAACAATCGCGGGAAGCTTGGTAACTCCCCATTTCCTAGCGTATCTAGGATCTGCCATTTTGACGAATGTAATATCTAGATTATCGGTTTCGTCGTCGATTTCTTCCAATTTCTCGTTTACTTCCTCGCTTTCATGGCTCTCGTGTTCATCTGAAAACAATAAATGTATAACGAGACAATTTTCAAATATAATATCGTCACACACACAATTTGTATTTTATATTTGCTCACAAAAGAAGACTGCGAGAAACTCATTCTCATCCAACAATTTGTCTAGCATCTTTCTGTTAACTTCCTCGATTTCATTCTTAATCTCAAACACATCTTGAGAAGTGAGCCATTGCAGGATTTTGTCTTCTTGTGTAAGATCGCCGTCATATATGAGTGGCGTTTTCTTTCGGAAGTACACGAGGGACGGAACGTTAAGAATGCCATATTTTTCAGCAGCCTCTGAACTGGAGATCTTAACGAAGTCGATTCCAAAAAGATCGGCTTCGCCGTCGATTTTCTCTAGTGCTTCCATAATATCATCGCATTCCGGACAATCTTCGTCATCTAATAAATTTCAAATGTATTTATGAAAAGAGCGTATTTATACATGTAATTGCAAATTCTTGTGTATATGTGTGTGTTGTGAGTCAATATATTATATTTCGGATCTATTTCTTCTCTATTAAAAGAAAGTACTTTTGGAAAACTAAAAATATATAGTCTTTCTTAATATTTTAAAAAAGTAATTTAAATCACAAAGAATTCTTGGTTGAAAAGAAAAAAATGTTTATAAAAATAAAGAAAGTTTAATGTCAAAGATAGATTATTCATAACATACAAAAGAAAACGGCTAGGAAAGGAGATTCATCGAGGAGCCTCTCTAGCATTCTATCATTAACGGATTCTATTTCATCGGCTAATTCTCGATTGTCATCGTCGATCAGCCACTCGAGGACGGATTCTTCGTTTTGGAGATCTCCTACACATATAACGTTTCCAAATTTTCAGTTCTTATTCGTTACGAGAGAACAAAAATATTAGAAAAATCAAGAATAAATATATGAGAATATAAGTGAGTTAGAATATAACTACAGAACCTTCAAAGAGAAGAGGATTGCCATTTCGGAAATAAACGAGAGCCGGGAACGTCTTGATCGAATATCGCTTCGCTAACTGCGAATCCTGAATTTTCACCATATGAATTCCAAATACGTCGCATTCGTCATCAATTTTTTCCAAACCTTCCAGAATCTCGTCACATATGTGACAATTCTGCTTAGCTATGACGTGGATGTTACAATTATACACTTGAATAATATAATTATCATATCTACGTTCTATGATTCTCGATATTAATTAACTTACTAAAGTAAACTGCTAAATATTGAGTCTCCTCAACAGACGTTTCTAACATTACTCGTGTGATTAGTTCAATCCGATCTTCCGTTCTTTGAGTAATCAGCCACTGTAACACCTCTTCTTCCACAGAGAGATCACCTATAGAGAAATAATTATGAATAAGGAAAGCTATTAGGAAAGCTAATCGCCAAAATTGCAAACCTGCGAACACATTCGGTACTTGATTCTCGAAGTAGACTAATACTGGTAAATCGGTCACCCCATAATCTTCAGCAACCTTGAAATCCTATAAAAAAGGATATTCTTATATTATAGATGAGCAAGAAATTGTAAAATATTATATCTGTTTTGTTAGATATAATATTATAGTATCTATTATAATTTTTGTATTTGTCTTCTTTATGTAAAAAGTTGCTGTTATGTATGTTTGCTCTTAAAAAGTCATTATTGAAACTGAAACTTATTATACAAACTTAAATTAGATAAAAGATATTAATTTCGTAATCTTTAAATTAAATTTTTTTGACGAAGCAAATCGTTATTCATATGAAAAAATTTTATTTTACATTTTTAATCTTTTTTATCAAAAATTCCTTTTCTGCCCGCATTATTAACGAACAACTTATTTATTATAAAAAGGATAACAAATAGGTATAACAACGAAAAATAACAAAAAGTTTATTTTGATATATCGTTGACATTTTTACTTACTTGTGTCTTCACAAATGTAATGCCATGTCTGTCGCAATCGTCATCAATGTTCTCCAATTCCTCAAGTATCGTCACGCATTGCGCACAGTCGTCAGGATCTGAAGAGAAATTCTATTATTATCGAATTTTTATCGCGAAAATTTGTTGTTTCGAATAATCTACTTGAAGAATATAAAGACGATAATACACAACGAAATATTGCACATCGATCGTCGATGTAAATGGTCTACTGGAATCGAGGGAGGAATCTGCTAAATACAAGGCAAATACACGTAATAAAGTGTGAGTAATACTGCGACAAGGATCGGACGATCATCTACGTGTGATATTTAAACTTTCAATGATATTAGAACATCTGTCTCATCGGTGGAGTAAGCGAGAATTTTGCATGCTCATCGGGATCTGTAGGTCACTACTGCTTGGCTGCTTGTATTCTGTTCTCATGTCACATGCTTTGCTCTCGTGCACGTGCACCTGTGTAACTGTGTAATTGTACATCGAAAATATATCAGAGATAGAGAGAGAGAGAGAGAGAGAGAGAAAGGAATACATTGTTTCTTTGGAGAAAGCATCCTACAAATGTTTGGCCTAGAAAGTGGCGGTGTTCTACGTCCACAATTGTTATTATTACATTATAGCTATAAAAACAAGAATTATTAAGGGAACACTGATAACTAAAAACGAATCGAAATACATTTCGTTATTTTTATCTAATATTGTACGAGATTTATTTATATTTTAATACCTCTTTATATTTAAAGTATAAATAGTCCCGTTGGTTACATATCAGTGTTCTTTTATTTTTCCTACAAAAAAGCGCATTCACTACGAGATAGCACACATCGTTTTTTAAAGCTTTTCCGGATTTCGGCAAAGCTCGTATATATTGCGTACCAATAAATTGTACGTGATTGTATACGGAGAAAAAAAAAGTTTACCGGCACATAGCATATTTTATGAGAATATTATTATACATGGCTAATAAAATAATTCATGAAGAGTGCTATATATTGAATATTCGATGGCTGGTTTCTTTTTCTCCGTGTGTATTTTGTGCTGGGAGTACATCTCGGTTATCTGTGATCAAGAATTGAGATAACTAAAACGTAGACTATATAAATCACATAGAGAAGTTGAAAAAGGAGACACAGAGAGAGAGAGAGAGAGAGAGAGAGAGAGAGAGAGAAAAAAGGAAAGAGAAAAAAGGACAGAGAGAAAGACATAGACAGCAAGGAAGCTCAGGACATCAATAAATTTTCATCTTGCTTTGATCTGTTGTACCATCGAGGTGTTCGGCCGCCTCTGCATGTTCCGCGCTCTTGTGCTCCTTGTGGCGCATCTGCTTGCGGTACGTTTTTGATTGGCACACGTCGCAAAGCGTTCTGTTCCCTACGGCATCAGTACACAAAGTGTACAGCATCGGAGCGAAAATTGACAGCGAATAGACACGTAATAGATAGAATTAGGAGGGAGATAAATATTTTGACATTTGTTAGGAACAGTCAGTAATTTCTTCATTACAAAGATAATTTTATGACATTTGATTAATTGTACAATATGAGTTTAATTTAATCACGTAAAGAGATTGTGAAATAGGAAGAGGGAAGAATCACAAGTTTAGAAAAAAGTATCGCGCGAAATCAATATTCCTTTAATATTCCGTAAAGTCGCTCTTTTACGGAAATCTTCTCGATGAAATGTAGTTTTTTTTTTTCCAATCTCACCGATTGGCGTTATCACTGTCCATGTGATCGCCAACATCAATTATATAGTAATTAACAATTCAATGAAAATAAAGTAGATAAAGAAAGAAAATAGAATACGTCCCAGTGAGAAATGATAACGAAATCAACGTCGAATTGATGTCGATTCGATGTCGATTCCATTGTCATTTCTCACTGAGGTGATGTTATTTACAATAACTTTTCGATAATTTATCTTATAAAGTTATATATATTCGAAGTATTCAGGAACTTACAGAAATATACGGCTAAAGATTCCGATTCTCGTATCAAATTTAAAAGATCTTCGCCTTCCAGAGCTTCGATTACTTCACCCGATGGATCCTTTTGTGTCATCAACCACTGCAAAATTTGCTCCTCGTCATACAGATCACCTGTTGAATCAATCATCCTAACTTTCATCTATCTCACTAATAAAAAAGTGTAAGGTTCCAATTATGTCATGTTCTAATTATGGGTTAAATTTGCAAAATTAAATGTTTTACAAATATACATGTATTAATAAAAGTATAGAATTTTTTGGATTAATTAGTAGTATTAGCAGTTTAAGCATAATTATTATGTAATATGAAATCTTTTTCTCTATTATTACTGATATGAAATGATTGGAGTCGAAACGTTTAATTGTTTTTGTAATGTTCATATTATAATTATTTGAATTAAAGTTGTTCGTTAAATTACTTGGCTTTTTGCCCTCTTTATATTTATACTATTTAATAAAAATTATTTCAACCCTAAATGAGATTCATAATAATTGGAACCGTCACCTTAATTTGTCGTGTACCTGCATATATAACTGGTTCCTTCGATCCCATCTTGAAAAATAGTATAGCAGGTAACGCGAAAACACCATATTGCTTAGATAATTGTTTATCGTCGATTTTGACGAATTTAATACCAGCGCCGTCAGCTTCATCGTCGATATGTTCGATTTCTGCCAATACCCGGCCGCACTGTTTGCAGTCGTTGCTGTCTAAACAAACGTGCGACGTATTAGAAATGATAAATGCAGATATAATTGTGTTTTTATTATTATATTAACTGTGTATATTGACTCACAAAAAAATACGGCTAAATAATCGGTCGTTTGTCGGACTTTCTGAAACATCTTCTTGTTGATACGTTCTATGTGATCAGTAAGTTCCATATTCTCCGGATTGGTCAACCAGTCGAGGATCTCTTCCTCGTCATCAATGTCACCATCATAATTGATATTCTTACCCTTGCGAAAATAAGTGATGCCTGGTGGATTTCGAAAACCATATTTCTTCGCCATTAGCCGATCTTTCATCCTGACGATCTTTATTCCGTATTCCGCAGCTTCGTCATCAATTAATTCGATATGCCTAAGTACCCTCGGACTTTCTGGATCTTCTTCTTTGTCTGAATATTTTTTGTTATGTAATGTATAAAGTCCTTTGTGATTATAGTATCTTCTAACAATAGTATCTTCTAACAATTTCAATTACAATGTAAAATTTTTTTTCATAAATTTACTGATTTTATTAGTAGATTATATGCAGAATAGTTATATAAGCGGTACAAAAATTTCGTACAGAATTATCGAAAGCAAACTATTTTATTTAAAAAAAAAGACAGATTGTTACATGAATAGCTAATATGCAAAAGTCATTATATTTTAAAATTAGAAAAAAAGAAATATTGAAACTTTCGAATTCCTTAGTACGAATTGAATATTTTAAACTGTGTAAAATCATTTTTTAATTTTAAATAAAATTAAGAGAAAAAATGGATGTCATTGACAAAAGAAATTACATTGTATTGTATTTTGTAGTCTAACCGAGGTTCACTTATTTTTTATGTAAAATACTTTGATTCAAAATTGTTCCTTACAAAATATGACAGCGAGAAATTCTTTTGTCTCAATGTATCTGATGAGAGTCTCACGGTCGATTTCTTCAATGCTCTCATCAGTTTTTTGTTTGACCATCCATTCGAGTACTTCAGTCTCGTCGAGGAGATTACCTAAATATATATATAGCCCAGTTGATAATTCATCAATTGTCAATATTTTGATAGTCAGTGTTGAATTAATGCTACAACAAATATTATCTTCTCCCAAATGTGGAAAAATATCTCTACAATTTATATATATAGCCTATTTAAATAATTTTCTAACATTATTAAGAAAAATGTAACAAAAATACTTTACAAATTATACAAAATTATTTACCTTTTGATGTATAACAATTCATTTTGCTAAAGATTAATATGTCGATATAGCGATAATTTTATTCATATTGACGCTGTTCTGGAATGGCTATTTATTTCTATCGATTTTTTCATAAACTGTTGTTTTATCTTGAAAAAACGCGAAGGTTATTTATCTTAAGATACAATAAGATGGCAAAATTATATACCTTTACGATATAATTTTATAGCACATTAAATGAAGAGATTACCAGTATTTTAATTAAAAGTTAAAAACTGTATAACAACAATGACAAGTAAAGCTAAAACTTTAAACTTGTTTAGAGATTTTGTCACAATCAATAATTAGAAGTTTTATTTTTATACTTATGTTTAATAAAAATAAAATTTTTACTTCTAAAAGTATTAAATATAATTTTGCTAAATATAATCAAAATAATTGATTCATTTTTGTACTTTCTTTAATTTTTCTAAATCAAATAATTTAAAAATATTTTACGTAATTTTAATGTGAGTTTTTGTGAATTGAATTGGACGTGTAAGCATATGTACAATATAATAATAAAGCCTATATTATTATTAGAGCGATGGTGGATAAAGCAAATACAAAGGATATATTAGGAAATATATTTATTGTTATCATATAATATCGATTTTTATTATTGTACATGCTGCTCTTATGCGAATAACAAGGACTTATTGACTCGCACGCAACGTTCACGAGCAATAATTCATGACGTCTGATAATCGTGATCACAGATACAGTGCGACAAAAAAGTTTCATTCGTTAATGACGCGACGATTTTTCTAAAATACCTAAGATGATCAACTTTACGCCCTTAGGTCGCGATACAATATCATACAAATTTCGCCTGTGACTTAACAATTTCCTGATGACATGTTTGTATCTTGCGCTGATTATCGGACACTGAGCGACAAAACACGGCGAACACATGAGACAAGAAGTATTTTAATTACAAATAAATAAATAAATAAATAGATGCCTTTATCGTGGCTCTTTTCGCGCGATTTAATTGCGATTATTCGAAAGACTAGTCTTTGTTTTATATTCATGCAACCAGCATAAAGCTAGATAAGCATTAGAGATGTAACAAGATATGGATGTAACAAAACACATGTCGAATTTCAACGTGTTGCAAAGGAAGAACAGAACAAATTTATGCCGGAATTAAAAGTAACGTTTTAGGTAAGAGACGCAATAACAATTATATTTGTAATTTGTAAAATCTTATTTACACGTATAATGCGTTTCTTCTTGTTTTAAGATAATACATTCTGTTAGAATAATACATATTTTTGTGTTATTCTAATCTCAAAAGTTTATAAGTTCTAAAATTTTAATGGCGAGATATCGATGATAATTTCAATGTAACTGTTACAAATTTTAATCTCAGTTTTTTTTAAATCGGTATTGTCGAAATGATAATTTGCAATAATGGTATTTATGGCTAGAATCAGATTTCTTTTCACTTTAAAACAGATGACTGACATAAACACACACTGTAGGAACTCTCAGTATTACTAAGAAATCTCGTTATTTATAAATAAAATCGTAGGCAAGACATTCGTTCATAGCTTCGCGCTAACTCTGGGCCTCGGCCCAGTTTTCATTTCATTCTCTTGAGATCTCTTTAGTCTTATAAATATAATGTTGAAGAGGAAGGTTAGCTTGAGGATCAGTAGGTTTTATTAGGATAGAAGAGAAAGAAATCGATAAAACAGAGGATTTAGAATGAAAGGTTTTAGTTACAAACGATTAATCTCTCTCATGTTAAATTAAACTCTAGAGCGTGTACCGCAATCTAGGTAGAACACTATCCATAGTCTTGGTGATTGTTTACATTTCCTTTTTCCTACACTATAAAGTCCTACCCATTTACTGAGTGTGAATGTTATCGATGAAATGCAACAAATCGGCGGTATCGCTCTTCGTGACGTTAACGGGTTAACGAATAAAACAAAACCAATAAACAATATTCAACGTTAGACGACGGTCGGATGTTAAGGATCGAGATTCTATATAAGAAATGCATACGTTGCGAGAATAATTCTGTTTATCGCGTGACCATCGGCAGATACCGGACCGACATACTATCAAATATATTGCTCTTCTCTATAATCTCTTCAGTATCGTATACGCACAGCCCGATGTGAATTATTTCTCTATAACGTCCTTTATCGATCATAGGATGCGTTTATATCTAAGCTCCTTACATACATAACAATTAACAGAAACATTTAAATCGCTCTCGCGGAGATATTCATTTATTTTTCTGCGCATGACACACGGATGAATACGTCGCGAAGGAAGATGACATAGTTGATGACTCTAGCGATAAAAATGACACTGATGATGATGATGTTGACGATTATAACACAATAATGACGAAAGATGAATTCGACGGCAAATATGATGATGGAATAATATTATTGATAATTGATAAATGACGACGACAACAATGTGTTAAATGGTAACGAGACATTTCGTTCCTTTAAGAAACATGAAATCTTTACTCGCTCACAATAGCGAAATTGATCTTTTTTCGAGTTGTTAGCACATGATAGCATAGAGCACCTGGCTTCTTCCGTCATTGCGCGGATTTTTCTGTCGAGCGAATTTTTCCATCGTTCGACCATCGTCCCGTGAGTCCTCTTTCTTCATTTCCTAATCGGCGTTCACAGCCCGACCTCGCTCGCACGTCCAGACGCCGATGTGCGTGTCGGCCATTTAGACCTTCATGAGGTATGGTATTCCAGCCACAACTGCAACAGCCCACAACCCCGACCCAACTCTCAGTGAGAGGACAGAAAAATCATTCTCACGATCTTTCACGCCTTTACATATTAAATATGCTTTTGTCGTCTGTCCTCTTCCATGACAATGTACGTTTAGGGGGTTCCGAATTCAGAATAGATGTTTGTCGACCAATGTATATAATTTATAAGAAATTATATATTTAATGAACGGGGGTTTTACAAACATTAAGAGCTAGGTTTGATTTACGAATTGTTCTTTCAAGTGTATACCGAAACAAAGATTGCAAATGTTATTTCGTTAACAGTAACGCATCAATTATATAAAATTGCTAATTGTTTACAGTATAGCTACTTGTAATTCGTGAATAACCTTAGCTCCATTATCGAATTATTACGATAAGGGATTACACTCTACGAATGGTTGGTCGAATCATTGATAGTCCGAGAAACTAACAGATCGATCGCGAATAAATTGATGCCCGTTATTCTGACGACTCGAGGACTCAGAGGATTCAGGCCGGTGCCGGTGCCAGAGCCGCGTGGAAGTCACGTGTCGAATCTTCGATCGTCTTGCTCATCATGGAAGTTGTGCGTCGTTGACGCTCTTCATGGATCGCGCGAGACCCGCGAGGTACCTGCATCCGAGATACGAGGACGAAAAGTCAGGTGATCTTATTTCCGCTGCAGCGAACGTTCTCCCGTGCCGGGGGTGGCTCGGCCTCAGAAAAATTTATCTTCGAGCTCACTATTTCCTTTCCCGTCTGTTATACTAAGCATTTATCGCGTTCATCGCTCGTTATCTTTTCCGAAAAGAAGACAACTTGTTAAATCGCTACCCACAGCGGACGATCTATCGCTGATTGTTCTTGCCTTTTGATACAATTTAATTGCACAATTTGTTATCCGATCCCATTTTTATTCCGAAGAAATCAATGCGACAATTGTAGATGAAAATTTGTTTTCCCTGGCGAACGTGCTTACATTTAGTTCGCCAAAGTGACTGATGGACCGTACACGTGTGGGCAGCCATTTAACTTCGTGTCCGGTTAAAATATTTACCGCTTCCGAAAAATCCCCTTTTGGCCTTGGACTTGGATTCCTTCGCGTCGTTGTCGATTCTCGATATCGTCGCTGATTTTTTGCTCTCCTTGGCCGTGAGCTTGTTTATCGGCTTCAAAGCCGGCAGTAGTGGCTTATCCGTTCTACCGGTACCTCGAAATTTGCTCTTGTCCTTCGTAATCGGGCCGATTTTGGTGACCTTGGCGACCTTGGTGCCGTGGCCGAGCTTGGTGGGACAGCACTGGTAGGGCTCATAGGAGGGAATCTTGGGTTTCGCGCTTTTACCTCCCATCCCGATGTAGAAACAGCCGTCGCCTGCAGTAAGCAAATATACAACGAGTCAGATACAAGAAGAATGAGAGAGATTTATAAGAATTGGCTAGCCTATATATGACTGATTGGTCTCGTCGCACGAGTCAATCTGGATTAAATAATAAAAAATAGGACCACGGATAAAAATGATCAAAGTGAATATAATGGGACAAATAGGCAAAATGACAAAAAAAAAAGAAGGTAAAGAAAGAGGGAAATTAATGAGGTATTGGAAACAAATAAAAAAGAGAGAATCGAGGTGAAACAAAATATATTGACTCGTGCGATCTCGACGTTGCTAGCGCATAGAGAACGTTCCACTGCAATCCCAATTGCTTAGCAAAAGCCAAACGTGCATGTTTTTAATAGACAATGTTTTAATAGAGAATTCTCGCGGCGAGTCGACGACTCTTTTTAGGTAACCGTTCAAACGTGAACCAACCTCCTTTTCATAGCTTCTATATATGATTGCGTTTTTCATACCGTTTATCTAGTATCGAATAGAAAATTACATTTGTAACAAGAAGAAATTAATGCCTTAAATTACTTCGCAAATTATCTCGTATTAATCCAAAAATGTTTATCATTGCCATTTTTTTCTTTTTGAACGGAGACTAGTCCGATTTCTTTCGACTCGTAATTCGCTGCAGACGACAGCTGTCAACAGAAACCATCGGCTCGCTTCGGAGAAGCCCGTATTTCAATTGATAAAAATGCGAACGAAAAAGGAGCTACGCACCGCATAAATTTCTCGCGAGTATCTAATTTTCTTTCGAAGAAAAAAATAAACATAAAATTTTGTATAATATAAATAAATAAAATATATTATTAAATTAATATATTTTATGCTCTAAACTGTCAAAAGATTTTACATCCAAATTACGAATTAAGAATAATTAATGACAATACTTGGTTGCGTAGCTCCGCCAAAGAAGGATTGTTATAAGGCGGGCATGCATTACGCGAAAAAGATTCAGGGATTTTGAGGAAACTGATGACCAAATAGGAAGTAGTTCAGGCATATGGATGCACTTTGCTAGTGTAAGTACGTAAAATATGATGACAATAGGTTCATGCAGGTATGTCCTACATCGCCCAGTTCTATCGTAAATAATGAGTGAACAGCCAAGTTCTAAATTACGTTGTTATAGTAAATACCAATCGATCTATTGGTATACGATTTTCTACTGTTTTTAGGATATCATTGTACAGTTTCTGTCTTTCGCGCAACACAAAGCCCGTCACACTTCGATCTCACGTGAGCTCCTCTTCGGCCTCCTGGGTTGTCGTTGGGCCTTTACCTTTGTCCAGGATTTTCTTCAGATTTTTGTTTAATTTTTTATTATTTTTGTCGTTATCTTCATCATCATCATCATCATCATCATCGTCGTCATCGTCGTCGTCGTCGTCGTCGTCATCATCGTCATCATCATCATCATCATCATCATCATCATCATCATCTTCATCATCATCATCGTCATCATCATCATCATCATCATCATCATCATCATCATCATTATCATCGTCGTCATCATCATTGTCATCGTCGTCGTTTTCGTCATCGTCGTCGTCGTTATCGTCGTCGTCTTCGTCGTTTCATCATCATCATCATCATCATCATCATCATCGTCATCATCATCATCGTAATCATCATCATTATCTTTACCTGCATATTAACGGATCATGGATAATATATATACAGCGCGATCAAAAACTGAATTGTGTACGTAGGTTTTTTGTGATCGATATGGCCTCGGTCCAAAAGGATGACATGCATAAAAATTTTTTTTAATGACAAACGTTATAGACGCATCACATTAAACATTCCCGGAATTTTGTTACATACGCAAAATATTGTTATATTTTATTACGTAAAGAAGAAGAATCATTATGTTTTTTTCTCATTATTTACCTCATTTCTACAACATTTACAATATTTATGATACGAATATGAATAGAATAGACTTACAATTAGATAATCAAAGTAATATATCCACTATATGGATATGTAAGATACAGCAATCGTGCTTACGAAAAAATTTACAAATAGGATTATTATACTCAAATAATTTAAGGATGACAGTTAATTAACAAAGATACTGGTATTGATATCAGTTGTCAAACATAAAATTTACGAGTATAATATATAGATTTAGCTATATGTTTATATATTTCTTGTATTACAATTTTTTTTTCAATTTTTCAAAATAAGAAATTTCAAATTTTCACAATTTATAAACTGATTCGCAACTTTAACACTTCGTATTGATTGAAATCACGAAAGCTTTGTTAAACGCGTCCAAAAAAAGAAATAAAAAAAGGAAGAACAACCATTATTAGTGCGCCGAAAGCTGCGAGAAATGTAAAGCTTCAAATATTTGAGCAATTCATAAAAACGTTATTTATAATTCAACGGTGACACGTCGTAACACTTTCTTTCGCAAAATAGGCTCGGGAAGATTTGTACGACGCATCACGTGACGCGTTCCGCATTATTGAGTCGATAGCTGTATACTAACACATAACAGTATAAAAGAGCGAATAAAAAAGGCAAAATATAAGTGTGATTAGCTTGCCAGTGTGATTTAAATGCATTATACCGTGAGAATATAATATGGCCAGCGTGCATGAAAATCGCGTTTTACCGAGCTTCGTGACATCCTACACTTTGAATCGAACCCTTTTTTTAAACCCTTTTTTTATGCGCGCGAATCGAAATTCAACGCAATAAACGATTACAGGAAATCCCCTTAGATTTGACGGATGTTTCATTTGCTTTTTTCCTTCTTTTTTGTTTATCATTATTGCTATCATGGTAATCGTGGTGGTGGTAACGTGATCGGAGTGATCAACACAGCGCGAGTGTTATACTCGTAGCCCGGTGGTATAGTCACGACCGAGATTAACGTCACAAAGAACAGTACACCAGTAATAATAATCATCATCCTAGAAATCTCCTTACTTTTCTGTTCGATTAGCCATTCCAGAACTCTGTCCTCGTTCTTAAGATTACCTACAAAAGGCACACACGCGTATCAGGATCAGCTAATTTCGATAACGCACCGTGATTTTTGTCGGTGTCATGTTTCGCGTTATCGCTTTATCGACGTGGAAATTGCTGAAAGGAACACGCTAAGTCGCTCTTCATTATAAAATCATATATACATATGTTCAAATTTATATTATAATATAGTGATATAATTTTCAAAAAGAGTTAGTAGTAATTCGGAATTTTTTATTTGATCACTAAAAACTAAACGCTGCATTATTACTGAAATTCTATTGTATTGAAATCTTCCCGTTAATTAATGACAATATATTTTAAAATAGTGAAGAGTGACTTAATAAAGGGAGAACGCGTAGCATAAAGGTAATTTAAGTTTGTTTCTCTTCTATGAAAATAAAGGATTATATTATATGTGAAGAAAGTAGGATAAGCTTGATAATAAAAAACAGAATTAAAGCTTTCGGTACTTACCGTCGTACATGATGGGAACTCCGGTCTCGTAATAAACGAGAGCCGGGAAGGAGAAAACGCCGATTTCAGCTGCCAATTTAGCGTCGTTTGATTTGACGAATTGAATACCGTGTTTGTCAGTATCATCATCAATCGTTTCTAATTCTTCGAGAATATCCGCGCAGGATTCACATTTGTCATCGTCTATTAAAAATTATAACTTTTCTATTATGTATGATCTCAAGAACACGTACTTAATGGCTAATTTTGGTCCGTATTCAGAACGTACATATTTATAATGATATTAGCGTACATTTAGCATATAGTTCACGTTATATATACTCATATTACGTAGAATTTCAGAAATAAGGACGCGTAGAAATAAATTATCGATAAAAGCTCGTTCTGAATACTAAAATATAAATTCATATTTTTATTATTTTTATTATAAAAAATGCTGTTTAGAATTAATAAACTCTAATTATGTAATTTCGAAAAAAAATAAAAGAAAGATATCTTATTATATTATTATATTAGAATATTTGTTGCTCTCTAAGTGCGTTTTAATTGTGAATTCTTTGGTTAATTTTAAATTATTATTTAAAGTATAAATATATCAAAGAAGACATAAATAATATATAGATAATCGATAGATGGATATAGATGTATAAAATGTTTTTTTATACATTATAAAAATTTTTTGTTATTTTTATTATAGGTATTAAATATTTATCAATAATTCTTAAATACTCTTTATAGATACATAAATTTAGTAGCTAAAAGTTCATACTTACAAAAGAACACGGCGAGATGCTCAACATCGTTGATAAGTACTTGTAATGTCTTTCTGTCGACGCTCTCGATAACATCCGGTGTTGTTGTGCGAAGCTCGAGGACCCATTCTAAAATTTCTTCCTCGTGCATCATGTCGCCTGAATAGATCTGCCGGAATTTGTGTCTATAGAATGCCAACGCTGGTAATCCCGGAAGATCATATTCTTTTTCGATTCCCTCGTCGGAAATCTTTACAAAGTCAATCTCCTTCTCTTCGCACTCGTCATCGATGTTTTCAAGCTCTTGCAAGATCTTTTGGCTCTTCTTATCACCTTCTTTATCTATAAAAAGTATTTTTATCGTATTACGATCAATCAATAAATTATATATACATGGAAAGAATAATTTTACTGAAATATTTAAAAGGTAAATATTTAAATTTAGCTAGATATATATATATATATATATATATATCAGATAAAAGTAATTTTATTGAACCATCAAAATAATTATGTTAAACATTCAAAATTGCTGCAGTATTATGCATCATACTTGAGATCCTATAATTATTTTCATGGTCTAATAAAATTATTTTCAGATCTGTGTCTAGCTAAATTTTTAAATTCTTTAACAGAAACGTCCTTTCCGTACAATGATACGTTTGATCATTTTATGATTGACTTACAGAAAAAGACGACGACATAATCGTTCTCGTCGAGAATGTTCTCCAGCATTCTAGCATTGACTTCTTCGATTTTTCCTGGTATTTCCAAAGTATCCTCATCAGTGATCCAAGACAATACTTCGTCCTCGTCATCGAGATCGCCAGTATAAATCAGCGGATCCTTGTTTCGGAAGAAAGCGAGAGTTGGGAAATGCTTAATGCCATACTTCTTTGCTGTGGTGGTGTCTTCGGTAGTAACGAATATAATACCCGTTTCATCCAGCTCGTCGTCAATATTCTCCAAATCTTCGAGAATATTATCACATTTTTCTCCTTCGTCGCAACTTCCACCTGTCACAATTTTTGGTCAATTATCATAAGTAACGAAAGAAGATATAGTAGAACTCCATATCTTCATCCCATTTATACGAATAAAGTTTATGGTTAGCTCTAAATATCTTATATACATTGTATATAATTACACTGTGTGACCGATTTCAACTTTTAAAATTTTCCAAAGGGCGCGTGGGTTTGATTGTGTCGGGAATACGGCCCACTATCATTTTCCCAAGAGATTTGGTAAAGTTAGATCGTAGAAGAATGGGGCATAAATTTGAAGTTATCAATTTCGAGGAGTACCAGTTGCGCTATTCTCATGGTTTTGAGATCAAATATTATCACAAATACGTACACGCACATACATACACATACTCACACTCACACTTATGCGCGCGAGCGCGAACTTTGTTTTACAAATACATGAGATAGCATTAGATAGTAGGATCTGTGAAGCTGGCACGACATTCTGTCGATATCAAAAAAATTATAACAGTTCCAGTAGCACTTTTCATAGTTCTACAGTTCTACCTAGAAATAAAAAATAATTCCGCAGTTTTAATACGAAAAAACTAAAATTATATATATATGTAACCTCAAATCGCGCTACCTGTATTCCTCAAAATTTATAACTATAAATTGATTCCCCATTTTTGTACGATCTAACTTTGCCAAATCCCTTGGGGAAATGGTAGTGGGCCCGACATAACCAAACCCACGCGCCCTTTGGAAAATTTTTGCGATCACACAGTGTTATTATACTCGTAGTTATTGTAGTTCAGATATAATAGAAACTTGACAACTTCAATTTTCTTTTTTCAGTTTCTATTATTGGAATTAATAAATACTTGCACAGAAAGAAGAATTAATAAACTTCTTTTTTCTGAACTACTTTCAGTTATCGAAACTACTTTTCGGATAAACAAAGTTCTACTGTATTTAACTTAATAAAGCTATTAATAATTTATTTGACTTTCTATAGATAACATTGATGAGAAACATTTGCTTACTGAAATATACCACAACGTATTCATGCTCCTCTATGAGATCCGTCAGGATCTCGTCTGTGACTTCCTCGATGGTAGCGCTATTCTTCTGTTCTATCAGCCATTCGAGGACTTCGTCTTCGTTCAGTAGATCGCCCTCATATATTGCCGGGATTTTATCTTCAAAATACACCAGGGTTGGAAGATGATCGATACCATATTCCTTGGCCTCGGCGTCGTTATCTATACGGACGATGATGATTCCCTCCTTTTCCAGCTCGTCGTCTATGTTCTCCAACTCGTTCAGGACCCTCATGTCCTGCTTATCATCCTTATCATCTACGGAAAAGAATTAATTCGCTGGTCGCTCTCACTCGCGACCATATAACAGCACCTACCTAACAAGTAACAGTGGAAGAATGTTAAAAGGAGGTAGAAAGACGAATCGATCGCTTACAAAACAGGACTGCTATGTACGGCGAGGTTTCTACGAGCTTTTCGACCATTTCGTCCGTTACTTCCGGGATCTCGGCGTGTTTTTTCTGATGCAATAACCAGCCCAGTATCTGATCTTCGTTCATGAGATCGCCTGCGGAACGCAATTGAAAAAATGTCTTTAACCATTTCTCTACTTGTATAATTAGTTGTTCTTCTTTATTAAATAAATGGAAGTTTTCAATAAAACTAACCATCGTAAATGTGTGGTATCTTTCGTTCAAAGAGCACCAAAGTGGGAAGCGTGTCTATGCCATATTCTTTTGCCTCATCCAAGTCGCTGATCTTCACAAAGGCTATGTTGTGTTGATCACAGTCATCGTCGATATTCTCCAATTCACTTAACACCTTTTGACTCTTCTTTTGATCTTTGTCATCTGTATAATAACGATAGAATCATATCAATAATGATGTTAAAATGTATCGACAATTGAAAGTAACGCAATCGCGCAATTTTCAATTATCAGGTAGAGAAGAAAGAAGCGCGAAAAGTGTGTTACTGACAAAAAAGAACGGCTACATGAGGCATCTTGTCTATAACCATGTCGAGCATTTCGTCAGTGACGTCCTCAATCTGGTCAGCCTTTTGCTGTTGCTCCAACCATTTCAACACTTTCTCTTCATCTTCGAGGTTGCCCTCATACACCATCGGAATGCCTTTCTCGAAGTAGAGCATTGTAGGTACTTTCTGAATGCCGTATTCCTTAGCCTCCTCCGCGTTGTCAATTTTCACAAACGTCACGCCGAGCTGATCACATTCATCGTCAATGTTCTCCAATTCATTAAGAACTCTTTGAGACTTCCGATCGTTATTGTCGTCTACGTTATCGTAATAAATACGTTTTAATATCATTTAAATCTAATATCTATCTATTAATTTACAGAAGCAGCTTACAGAACAATACAGCTATGGTCTTTCCATCCTTGATGAGACGATCCAGCATCTCATCGGTGACGTCTTCTATCTCATCCTTTTCGAGTTGCGACAACAGCCACTCCAAAATTTCGTCCTCATTTTCTATATCTCCTGCAATTATCGTGTTATTTTTCTGAATGAATTAATTTACATAAATATTTTACAAACTTTTTCTTTAATTAATCTAGAATCAATACGATTTTTTTGTGATTTTATTTTTGGTACCATCATTTCGCTCAGTATGTGCGATTCACCTACCCACCGTCGTAAACATTCGGAATCTGCTTCTCGAAATAGACGATCGCCGGTAAATCGTCGATTCCGAATTCTTCCGCCGCCTTTTCATCGTCGATCTTCACGAATTGAATACCGTGCTTATCACAATCGTCATCGATCTTTTCTAGTTCATTTAGGACCTGCATAGATTCTTCATCACCGTGATCATCTACAAGCATAAGGATATATTACAAAGTAAGATCAAATAAGATGAGGCTAACCAAATGATTAAAAAAATACGAACAGAACAGAACGACTAAATTGTCAATGTTTCCAATTAGTGTGTTCAATGTCTTGGCGGTTACATCTTCGATAATATCTTCTTCATCTCCCGTGCTCTTGTTCGCTACCAGCCATTCCAGCACATCTTCTTCTCTACTCAACTCATCTAAGAGCACGTACTGCGAGTTAATTTCATCTCTGTATTGCTTTATATAATTAAACTAGGATAAAGTGAAATACTTTAGTGACATAAAAAATTTGTGATAATTGTTCAATCATTAATTATCGAATTTTGTATATAAAGTTTCACGAAAGATACTATGTATTGTTATTAGAAATATTCTGATTTATTTTTAAAGAGAAATCAACGTAAAATATTATATAAAATTATCTTAACTCTAACATTTAAATAATTAAAATTACGCGCGATATGCGCAATTTTAATTATTTAAATGCTACAATGTTATGTATTACATATTCTTATTCTATCGTACTTACGTTCGTAAATAATTGGAATTTGATGCCTGTAATACACAAGAGCTGGGAGAGGACCGAGATTATACTCATCCGCTAGTTCCTCGTCCGCAATCTTTACAAAACCAATGCCCAATTGATCGGCTTCGTCGTCGATATTCTCTAATTCTTGTAAGGCCTTGAGACACTTTTTGCAGTCTGGTTTGTCTGTCCCATTTAAAATAAAAAGATGCATTATTGCGTGCTATTGATTAATTCTTGATTAAATGATCAATGCCATTTTTTCGAGTGTTTTATTCCATCCATACATATGGCATTTTTCTACAAATTTAAAATTTATTTGCTAGTTTAATTGAATTTTATCTCGTTTTTGGATCATTACTCCTGTTTAACAATGTCAGTAATTATTGACAAATATGAAATATATATATTATAAATTTTTGCTATATGTCATATGTCAAGAAATATTAAGAAATTTTATTAAAGACATATTAAGAAACTTCATTAAACATTCCATTTTTTTTAAACAATGGGGATGACCGTCTTCAGATATGTTAGATTACTTTAAATACACATGATATTGAAACGATTAGATTAGTCACAATTATTCTCAAAATCTCACTCTTATAGTACATATTGTTTTATACTAAACAGAAATATAACATATATAATGGATTTTATATTCTATATCTGATTGGAACACACTTATATAAATGTGGATGATAATTTAATAAATATTTACTAATATTTTAATTAGCTAAGAATTCCAGTTTAAAGCACTAATAAATGATAAAATGCAGAAAACTTAGAAAGCTCGAAATGTTAGTCGACTCTTTATCAGTTACACAATATTTAAATTATTATCAGTTCTAGTTTTTATTAAGAATAATTTCTAAAAGATTTCATGGAAGTATTTATCGTATATTGAAAAATGTACATGAAAAGTGAAATGCATGAGTAAAAATCCTTGCCGCTCCATTGATATCTGTTTCTCTTCGCATCCCTCTGTCGTTGTACGCACATTTGAGCGAAGTGCTGCAGAAACGCGGTAGATCAATTTTGATGAACGCGCAGATCGACAAGTTAAGAATAAATAAAAATTGCTATATGAAAATGCATATTAATGTCGCTACTCCAGGTGACACTTGCGAAGAATCACTTCCTCACAAAAAAAGAACGAAAAAAGCCCATAATTCTTTGCTTCTGACATCTTAATCAAATACAGCTGCAATAAAAGAATAGGCGCTTTAAGAAAAAAATAATTTAGCATTATAATGGTAGTAACTGCAATTGAACAGCAAAGTGATTTCTCATTAGTGCGTTAGCCGATATCGAATGCATATAGCTCTCTGTGTGTATCTCTCTCTGTGTGTGTGTGTGTGTGTGTGTGTGTTGCTGTGTAAAAAAGCTAGAATATTGTGTTACAGATATTAACCACATTAATTTCTTAAATATGTACTTACTAGAACCGGTGCCTGCACACCGCTCCGTATTTGGACCTATTCGTATCAACACACACAAAAATTTTCACATATATGTATTATTTACAAGTATATTTTGTATGTAATCGAACCGCAAAATGGATGGATATTTTTCGACCTGATTGTCGAAATTTATATCCTTATTGACATAAAAATTTCCATTTTGCGATAAGATTTTAACTTGATTGATAATAAAAGACAAAAACAATAGAGATAATTGGATGAACTTTACAGACAATATAAGATAGACAAACTGACGTAAACATTTTATACAGAGAACGATTACTATTAATAACTATGATTAGAATATATTAATAACAGATGATAGACATTATTGTTTGTTGATTAAACAACGATGAGAAAATATATCTCTTTAAATCCTTCTCTGTATTGTACATACATGAAATATTAGAAACAACTACAAGTCAGTAAACATAAAACTGTACATGGTAATACCTATAATCTAATTATGATAAGAGCTTCGTAATAATGATAGCAAAGATCTGAAAAGCCACCTCATTAAATTTGCCATTTATTAATTTATTGTGCTTAATGATGATCAATGTGCATACATGGAATTTTTAAGTTGTAGCGTATTTGCGGGGAAATTAATCGCGATTTTTATATTTTATGTACAAATCCGCACAATATAAATAGTAATATTACATTAATGTTATAATTAACTCAGCAATGTAAACGTAAAGTATGATATGTTACATTAAATTTTTGTTGTAGGAAATTATAATATTGATGTAATGTTACTATTAGTTTGTGTTTTGCGGAGAATAATGAACAATTTCGCAAACGTGACATACACAATGATTAGTAAGACGTCGGACAATAACAGATTAAATGGACGATAGATACACGGATGACGGTCGGGATACATTACGTAACATCACTGTGTAGCACCGTTGATTTTTCGATGTCGACTGATATAGTTATTAGCCTAGAACTTAGTTCTGAATGGATTTCGAACTATAAAAAATTTTACGAGTATACAAACTAAAAAGATTCAGAGATGCCAACTGAAACCAATCACCCTTCAATTTTTTCACATCTCCGCCATTAGTTAAAAATCTTTCATCCGGACACGTAAATTAGAGCTGTTTAACTACATACTTGCAAACGACTGCCTTGTTTCGTATTTCTCATTTCTTGTTTGCATTATTTTTTGCTATTTCGCGATTGCTCATTTACGTCACTCAGACAATTTTCTTAAATGATTCTATACAGGATGTAACTAAAAAAAAACGTTGGAGGTATGTTCCATATGCGTCTTTTTAGTTACATCCTGTATAATTTTACGTAAAATTATCTTTTTCTATTTTAAACTATACATAAAGAAATAATCTTGTAATTCTTAAGCTCATTTTAAATTATCAATATTTTTAAGTTTTACCATATATATTATTATATATTGTATATATATATATATTATATGTATATGTTATAAATATATATATATTTTATAAAACTATTTCTGTGAGAAAAAATGTTTCGGTAATTATGCACTTTAGGGGACCCAGCTCCGATGACCTTGATCTTGACAACTATGTCAAAATCAAGGTCAACGGAGCCGGGTCCCTTAAAGTGCATAATTACCAATATTTCTTTATTATATTACTGGAGTATGCTATTAAACATTTTTTCCTTAGTTATAATTCATGATTCGAGGATTGAACGTAAACATTTAATATTATCGATTAGAATCAACTATTTAATTTTATTTACTTACTTTTTAAAAATATCTCACATATGTATTTCATCATTTTACAGCGAAATTTGCATGCACAATATTTTATCGAAAATAGAAGAATGAATGTTGGACATGTTCCGAATAATTTGATTTTCCGAATCTGTTTTTAGCTGAGACTTAATTTAATGATTAACGTGATTAATGGGAAAAACGACTTACAGAAGAGGACTGCCACGAAGTCCGTTTCCTCAACAATCTTCGACAGAATTTTTGCATTAACTTCTTCGATACGATCTGGTAGATCCATAGCTTCTAAACTCGTAAGAAAATCTAGTACATTTTCTTCGTCCATCAAGTCACCTACAAAAATAATCATATTATATTTAAAAATAATAGATGTTACATATACAACTATAAGATTGTCTTTTTATTACTAATTTGACTCGCAACATTGCACAAGATGAAGAATACGAAATTTGTAGAAGCATTATGCACATAAAGAACAAATAATGGCCGATAACGATTTCTTGTAGAAGCAATATTTAATGTTTTTTGTAATTTATATTAACTGTAACATTGTGAAAATGACCTAATCAGAGTCGAAACGTCTGTAATATTTATATTAAATTTTTTTGTATTATTTATATTAAACTTCTTTATTTCTTGCAATAACGCACTTATATAAACATTAAGTAAAATTCGACCGAGAAATGTTCAATACATTTAAAAAATTCAACACAAATAAGCAAAGAAGACCTCAGTAAGCATAACGTAACAAACACACGCACGCACGCTTAGGCTTACCATCATATATGATTGGTTCTTTTTCGCGGAAATATGTAAGAGCCGGAAAGTTTTTGATGCCATATTGTTTCGCCAATCGTTTATCGTTGATCTTGACAAAGTCGACTCCAAAGTGGTCTGTATCGTCGTCGATTTTCTCCAATTCGGCCAGGACTTTGTCGCATGTAGTGCAACTTCGGGCATCTATAGATAAATTAAATTTAGGAAATGTCGTATTAAATAATAAGAAACCTGAGTAAACATTGATTGAAAATGCTTATATTTATTTTACATATACATATTTAATAGTAAATACAGAGAACATTCTGTTAAAATTACATTAGGGCATTCATGTATCGATTAAATTTTAAAAAATTGTCAAAAATTGCATTATATTTATTAAAAGAATATATAAATTAATAACCTAATTTACAAGATTTTTTGTGCAAAGTATATGAAAACTGTTTCTAATTTTTTATGCTGAATTCAAATCTTATCATGGAAATATTTCTGTCAGGTCTGATTTTTATAAGGTACAAGAAAAAACATATTTTCTTATATAGAGTGAAATATTATTAAAATTAGAAAACAATCAGAATATTGAGCGTTTGATTTTTGTTTTTAATACTACTTTGGATCGATATTGAGGTGATTTCAGACGATATAACCAATATACGCCAACTTTACGCACATTCGCTATTGGTCTACAATATTCATATGGATAGTTATGTATGTCGAGCGTGTGTGTGTATGTATAATAGTTGCTAATGTGGTGTACATTGGCCATGTTGTTTGGAGCCGCCTTTAGAATCCATCAATAGTTGCCACGCACGTTTTCATTCCAATACTTAAAATAACATTTTCTAAATATCATAAAAGTCTAATGGAAATATTTGCCTTGCTGGTCACTTGTCGCATCCAAATTATTCAGAAAAAATGCTGTATCTTAAAAATTGACATGCTACATCTAAAAAATATGTTATATTTTAAAATTAATATATTATTTCAAAAATTCGATCCAATAAATTTTTCTAAATGACAATTTGAACTTAACGATTTGAACACCCTATAATACACGTTTAAAAAAGTGTTTCCTTTCTTACATCAAAAATTATTCAGAATTTGTAAACTATTATAGTATAACAAATAATATTATAGTATAATAAAATGATTGACAAAAACAAAACTCTAGTACTTAAACGGACAACGACGTTTTGTACTCTAATTTTAAATACGTTTCACTTCCTCAGGTGGCTGTAAGAAGAGATCGATCTCGCTTTTGCACATTTTTACGCTTATCGTTCCCGCTCCTTGGCAGATTGCGTGCATTCTTGGCGGGCTGTGGCTTCATTCGAGCGTACAGAGAGCAAACCACTGCCTCTGCGGTAGGTGTTAGGTTACAATTATCGACTATAGATATCGAAATATCGACCCACCATCGTCCTCTCGGTTTTCCGTGCTTAGGAAAATCATTGCGTTTTGTTGCGCGAGAACCTTGATTACACCTCGTGGTAATACCAAGCGATAACAAAGCGCGGGCGACGATGTTACGCGCATCATCGCATACATGCTTCGTGCGCCCCGCCATTTTTGGTGACGACTTCCTTAGAATAGAGCTAGAAGAAACAGGAGAGGTGGTTCCGATTCTCTTCCCCCCTATTTCTGTTGTCTTCTCACTCGCTCTTGGTTTTGCCATCTATCTTTCTCTTTTTCACTCTCTTTCTCTCTTTCAGTTTGCCCGCATCTCTATCGTATAGCTTCTCTTTCCGTTACACTTCTTTGCTCTTGTGATCGCATATTCGCATCTCTTTTCCTCTTTTTCTCTGCGTCTTTTTTTATCTACCTGTTTCTTTCGTTCTCTATCTCTTTCTATCTCTCCGTCCATCCTCTTGCTCCACTATCGTTGTATTGGGAGTAACGTAATAGCAGCATTCGGTTAACAGACACCCCCGCGAAGCGGTTGGCAGAATGATTTGACTAAGATGCGTGAAGCGAGAGAGAGATGTATGAAACACGCAGCTGAGGAATTTTCGAAAAGCTGTGCCAAATAAATTGGATCATGTCCACCAGTTGTCGCCGTAATAGTCGAAAGTTAAGAGAAATTAATCGATAATCTACTAATCAATATAAATTAAAAAAAAAAAGATCGAATACGAAAGAGAAAAGAGTGCCTTTAATCAAAGTAATAATTTCATTTATCAATATCATCTATTAGTTAATAATGATCGATATTTATATAATAGTTGGATCTTATATTTAAGATCGTCTTAAATACAGTCTCAAGATGTAAGATTATGAACCAGTCAGAGATAAGTATTAGCATCTTAAGATATTACTTAAGACGGTCTTAAAATAAGAATGGATTATGAATACTGCCTTATGTGCCCGCGAAATCATAGAGATATCGATGTACTGAACACGTTAAGATTGAAAGTACTGAAAGATTATATGCAATAATATAATTATAGAAACGCGATTCTTGTTCTTTTATTTGAAAAAATTACGTTGAGCGAATAATATATAAATACACCGTCCTATATAAGAAGTCTATTTTTATTTTTTTATCGTATATCTTTTTATTTCTTCTTCTGAGAAGATTATCGAGAAAGAACCAAAATACAAGTGACGTCAGGGATCACTTGCGTATATCTTATTGCGATACTTATACGATGATCTGGATTTACACGAATTAAAAATACGAAGTTATTGTTTGAAAGGAATAAGTATTGTGTAGAGAATTGTCCGAAAGTACCATATTAAACAAGAAACTGCTCATGTAGCTTTTTGGTTAAGTAACAACAAGTGGCACATCTCTCATTCTTTTTCTCCGTTAAAAGAGATACACGTGCGTTTCCAAATTATTTCACTCATCGTCACATCGACAACTACCACGAAGGAGCGAGGACACAGTTGATCAAATTATGTTTATCTATAACGAAAAATGCACATTCGATCGAGACGCGTCCGTTGGTTGGCCTTTCGGATTAGCTTTGATCGATTAGTCAGAGATCCAAAATATATATTTATATTTTCTTATTAATGTTTAGTTCAATTTGCTGCTTAAATACTCGAAATTTGCATTTCTTCGTCTTTTTCGCTAAGAAGTAATTCAAATACAATTATTTTTATCTTTTTGATCAGTATTTGTTTCTTCGTCATCGAAGCAAAACTGAAATGGAAATTCCATATATTTAAGCAGTAGATTGAACATTGTAAATATAGATATATTTAGGATCCCTGGCCGATCAACTGAAACTAATCCGAAAGACGATGCCAACTGACGGACTCATCTTGATCGAATATGCATTCTACGCCAAAGACAAACATAATCAAACGAATAGACTCAACTTCATCAGAAAAACTATAGTACATAATGATTGAACAATTTAATAAAATGACTGATTTTATATTTAAAAAATTACATTATAGTTATGATAAAATTATTTTACATAAAATATTTTCACAGAACATGTCGATAGCAATCAATAACTGGAATTGATTTGTGAAGATTCTACTGTAATATCTTTTGTATATTTTGAATGTCTCTGAAAGGTTCTCCTTTCAGCGGCAATTTCAACTTCTGGCCCGAAAACAAGCAAACGTGTTTGCTCACCCACTGTACTCCTCGGATTTGGCACCTTGCGATTACTTCCTGTTAACGAAATAAACTGTCCCAATCGTTACATTCATTAAAATAATTTTTATTTTTAATAGAATTAGAATGTATTAAACAGATATTACTATAAACTATCCAGGTTCTCTAGACCAATTCTCGTTTGTTACATATACAATATCCTAATGCTGCACTTGCAAAATTTTAACAACCATACATTTTTAAAATAAAATTAGTCTGATTCTTTAATCTGGATTATGTACGCCGCTCCTATATGAGAAAGAGAGAGACAACGAGATCGAACGACGGCCAGTGCCTAGTTTACGAGCCACTAAAAATACAAGAACGAACGGCCTCGCCCATACCATCGCCGTCGTCGACATCGTTTTCTCGTCTTCGTCGCCGTTATCCGCGGATATCTTCGCCAAGGGCGTTTGCGATGTTCTCGTTTACAATTATGTAAAGTAACGATTGAAATACATGAAACTGAATCGCTCCAGTCGGACTAGTCTTGCTTTAGAATACACATTTGGCTCGAGATCGTTGTAATTTTCCGTCTAGCGCGCATAGAGGAAATTTAATTAACGTAAGAAATATTCTTCTTAAAAAAGAGTAGGAGGAAATACGTGGCCTCAAGTCCAGTAAAACTCTATCGGAATAACGGAGCTTGTCTCGACGTGAACTGCGTAAAGTGGAGTAACAATATAAATAAACCAACAGGCGTAAATGTGGAAACAGACTGTCGGTATGGAGCGTAAACATAAGAATATATTACACTAATCATTACTACAGAGTTTGGTTTGTGCTTTATATGCTCGAGCCAATACGCAGAATTAGGTGTATACATACATTTTGAAAATTGTTTCGAGAAAGTAACGCGATATCAGTGGTAAAATTATTAAAAAAGAGAGAGAGAGAGAGAGATTTATCACATATTATTTCCATTACGTTATGTATAATGATTTCATTTAATTAATATTTAAATAAATTGATATATATAGTAATGATTATCCCCCCCAGAGTTGACAGTTCATTCATAAAATGTTATTTATTATTATATATTTGTAATAAGGCTCAATAAATTTTAAAAATAATGAAAAGAAACAGAGCTACTAGCCTAAAAATTTGTTAAAATATAAAATTGTTAGTAAATAAAATCTGTCATTAGGTTAATCTATTATCATTATTAAAGTACAATTAATTGTAATTTTTTTCATTTTTTATATGTTTTTTAATCAATGTCTGTATCCATTACCGAATAAATTTTGCCGATATGACCTTCTCTCAGAAATAGAAAATAAAATGTTTGCGGGAGCACACTTCGCAATCGAACAAGACTAATCGTCGCACGTGCGTAGAACGTTTCCGCTCTATTCGTGAATCGCTCGTTCAAGTTTATGCAACTTATGTAGTCACCTATGTAGTAGCTCAAATTGTTGTTGACGTCTACAACACCTCGAACATCACAATAATGAATGCGATTCTATGACTTTATTTAAAAAGAAAGAGCGACATAAATGTTGTATAAAGTTTCCACGCTTGTAAGATAATTAAAACGATTTAATTTACAGTGCAAACACATGTATTATGA